AAAAAAAAAGGATGAACAAGAAAGAAAAAAAAAAATATATATATATTTTTAAATAGAGAAAAGGTTACAAATAACAAAATTCATGATTCATCTTCCTAAATGCAAAAAAGAGATCATCACATTCTAAAACTACCCCTTATTCTTGAACTCTCGGGGCTAAGGAAACCGAAAAAGGCCGATCGACTGATTTGTCTCGTCAATGGAGACAAACTACGAATATCCATCAAAGGCGAACGGCTCGGGTCCAAAATCCCGAACCCGGTCGAGCACGACTTTTTCCTTCGAACACTAACCGGGGCCTCTCGTTTGCTAGCTCTCTCTCGACTACCATCATCAGCATGCACACGATTCGGATTCTCCTTCAAGTGACGAAGGATCTTCCTTTTTTCTTTCGCGAGCTGTTTGCCTAATGAAAGTGGTTCAGGCAAACCTTTCTCTGGCGTCCTTTCTTCCGTCTTGAGCACCCGTTCAGGGCCATTTTCGTACTTGCGCCCCTTCTCATCAACGGTGCTGTTTTTCTTCAGCCGGAAGCTCGAGAATATTTTCTCCTTTTCGAGTTGCTTACCGAGAGGAACCAGAGGAGGCGGTGATAAACCCATGTTCGGGTTTTGAGTTTGCTCTTTGAGAGCGGAAATCTCAAGACTCATCTCGTTCGCCTTATTTTCGTATCTCATTGCTTTCTCTTTCCATTCTTCCACCTAAAACAAATTCACCAAAAAATATTAATTCATTTACTTTTTAAATATTTACAATTTCATCCTATTCTGAAAAATTTACACACACAAAAATTCTCCGAAAGAACTAAATGTGAGAGGAGGGTGTTCCTTACAGTTTTCCTGAGGGATCGAATTTCCTGGTTTAAATTGTAGGCTCGATTTTCCCAGAAATCACGGGACGCCTGCAGCTCCTCCATTTCACCGCGCACCTGCGCCAGCATCTCCTGCATCTGGGCCCACTGCTCGGTCTCGGCTCTCACCTGCTCGACTATCCTCCGCACGATCGCCTTGCAGCGTCCCGTGCATTTGTTCTCACGGGCTATCACTGGCTCCTGTGTAAGACAAATCATTCTTAAACCAAAACACTCCCCCAAATATCGACTCTGAGGACTATGTTTCGAAACCAAAAACTATTTGCAAATATCAAAATTAGTGCCCAATTGCTTGTTAAGTGAATCGAGGTTTTATTAGCTTATATAGGCATTATAACAATGGAGAATGTTAACACGCGTGATCTTACAGCCTACGATTAGCTTATGTTGTGTAAACTGGAGGCATGCTCAGACAATAGCTACCAATATTCTCAAGGACTTGACCATTTACTGGTTATGATATATACAGAATGAGCCATGACTTGTGCTGGGGAATAAGGAAAACACGGAACAACATTGAAAGATCAAGACACCGTGTGAAACAAATTGATATTTTAATTTCTAAGGTGTCGGGCAGAGATTCACAATCTGGAAATCTTACTCGGCTTGCAATAAAATAGTCGAAAAATGAAGAAAAACAGAACACGATCAGATGCAAATGAATTTATATTAGTAGTCTTGACCACACGACCTTATTACATATAACTTATAAAATAATGGGTTTAGCCCCTGAACACTTCTAAAATCATATGACAGCCAAGTTTGTGAATGTACTAAAAGGGCAATGTAACAATTTTTTCAAATGAGCAGTCCAAAAAGAATTAATATTTATACAGAAGGGCTTTTGAATTTTACCTGATACAATTGTCTGGTTGAAACATTAGACAGCTCGGGATACTCGATTCTTTTGGACGTCGAAGCTGAGCTGGCTACCGAGCCATTGGCAGTCAAGGAAAGAATTGAGTTGTATTCTTCTTCGACTCTGTTTAAAATGCCCTTCGATAGTCCCTCCATTTTCTCCCTCAGTATATCCACCTGCACAATCTATTTCGTGTGCAAACCCAAGATTAGTCATAGTCATAGCCGGCATCGTTAAAATTCGTTTACCGAACTCAGAACAATAACAAAGCAAAGAAAACTAGAATGTTCTTACGTCGGACAACTTATCCTCGGTTTTCCAATTGGAAATATTGCTCTCTTTATCAACTTCATGGCTCACATCGACACACAGGCTCAACTCGGCTCGTTTTTGTGAGTCCTTTCGAGACTTTAAACTGGATAATCCTTTGAGATTTTCTACCCTGCGCTGCAAAAGGCAAGCGCTCTTGTCGAAATTACTGCAATTTTGAACTTCATATTCTTCTTCTTTACTTCTTGAACTCTTTTGCAGCTCCTCCAGCTTCTCTGATAAATCTTCTATCTCTTCATCTAAGACATCAGTCACATTCTTCCCTTCGAAAATCTTCTTTCTTCCCTGCAAAAGCAAGGAGACTATCGAGCAACCGAGCAATCGAAAAATCGGTTTGAAGCACAAGAGTAATTAAATGATCCCAATCACATCCCAAACAATAAAATCATATATTCAACCAATTTTCCTTACTTTAATGAGTTAAACAACTATTTTAATAATTATTTTGAAAAAAAAAAAAATAAGGGCAAAGAAAACAGGGCTAACAGAGACAAGTGCTTCAACAGCCGATTTCAGAGTTCTTTCCACATTAACCCTATTTTTCTCCATCTTCTTCAGAGCAAACTCCCTCTCAATTCGCAGCAATTTACATTCGGCCCTCAGTATCTCCGATTGAAACCTCCACTTCTCCTCCTCAAACCCGCCGCCGGCGACATTGAAATACTCTCCACAGTCATCTTCTTCCTCCACCCTCTCCCTCCTTCCGCTGGCCGGTGATTCCGAGTACGAGACGGAGGGGGCGAGCCCATGGGTCGTGGGCGGCTCGTCGCTTTCTCGATCGAACAGTTTCTCGAGCGTCGCCTTGTGAGATTGGTACTTCTGGCGCATGAGCAGCAGTGCTGGGCCGTTTTGGTCAAGGCGGCGGCTGGCGGCGGTCCTGGTTTGCTTGCGGCGGGTCCTGCGGCTGCGGGGGAAGTGGAGGACTTTGGGGCTGGGCGGCGGCGGCGGAGCTGGGTGCCGTTTGGTTTTTCTTGGTGCAGTTGATTTGTTCATGTCTGTGTGTATGTGTTTTTTTGTTGCTTTTTGGGTGGTTTTAGGCGTGACAGGGTTTAAAGGAGGATTTTGAATTTAACGGCAGCTATAGAGATTATATGCATCACATAAAGTGTGAGGTGTTTAAATGCAAAAAATGATCAAATGGTGCAATAATTTATTTGGATTAAAAGTTTTGTGTTTTGAATTGTTATCGTTTTTCTCAAAATCTTATTAAGCGGGTTAACTGTTAGGCGGATCGACTTTTTCATTTTAAATTACGTTATAGTAATATAATAGTTGCATAATGTTTTGATACAAAATACTAAGATCTCATAGTTTTTACTCGTTATATCAACTTTAAAATCAACAGGTTGTATGCTTATATATAATTTATATCATGGGTTATGTCGAAAAACAAATATGTCATAACATTATATTTTTATTTTTCTAACAAAAATGTAGACTTATGACATGACATGTTATACTATCATTTATATTATTTTTATTTATGCTATCATGAATAATGTTTTTCACTTTTGGCGGCAAACTTGAAATTCTAGTCATGTTGGTTTGATTCAGTGACTTTTTTTTTTTTTTCTT